AAGAATTAGCGGTTAGGTCTGATCATGACAAAAGATTAAAAAGACTATTGAAATGATTGATTTGCTGTCCATGCATTTGCTTAGAGTCTAGAAGTTCCTTGAAGGTAGAACTGTCATGCCCTGATATTTTAATTAAGTTTCAAATATATACAATTCGCATATCTCTCTTTCTCATTGAACAACTTCTAGATATTACATAAAATTCTTTACATGCTTCCACTGTAAAGCAAAAATAGTTCAATAAGTTTGAGATAAACAAAATAAAAGTGTCACGACCCCAAACCAGCCCCGATAGGTTAGGATCATAACCGGCCGGTAATTATGAGATTACCTATGGCCTCCGACCGAAATCAAATTATATTAAATTTTAAGGGGCTAGAAATGGAAGCAGAATCATTAATTTTGTCCAATGAGCTGTGTATATATGTCATACTAAAAACTTTTCTCATTTGTACAATAACTCACACCATACTGTTAATAGAGACATACATTTATCCAGGATCATTCAAAATAGTCTTATCAAAAGCCAAGGTTATACATATAGATTTGGTCGCACAAGACCACAAAAGAGAACAAAAGGAAAATAAAAAACAAAAGCCTCATCTGTGAGGCGACCTTGGTTGACTTCAAAATCTCGGTACTCTTGTCACATTTCCACTAAGGCTGGGGTTAGACATCCCGTTGCTCACCTTCATACATATAAATACAAAGTGAGTTATAGCCTAGTGAATAATACTAGAGTAAAGGGGTTGTATGAATGAGATTCTCAAATAAGTAGTCCAAACTCATAAGTAATGCATATAAATCATTATGAAAGCAAAACGACCTCGGGTCCATTCCATCGTGCTCAAGGCATATCAAAGGGGCAAAACGACCATGGGTCCAAATTTACTTCATAAATCGACCTCAGGTCTAATGGATCCATATACGAATGACCACCGGTCCTTCATATCACGATACCAACTGACCTCGGGTCCAACATTCTTGTATTCATATTTATGCGTATATTCATATTCATGATCATGATCACATCCGTATTCATATTCAAAACGACCTTTGGTCCAATCAATTCCTTATTCAAAACGACCTTTGGTCCAATCAATTCCTTATTCAAAACGACCTTTGGCCCATTTAAGAAACATACAAAATGACCTTTGGTCCAATTCATATATAAGATGACCCTTAGACGATCTTGTTAAACATTCCAAACGGTCTTAGGCCCAATCCATATTCTTGTCAAATATACCAAACGGCCTTAGGCTAGTTTCATATTCTTTTATCAAACATACCAAACGGCCTTGGGCCCATTTTGTATTCATACATCAATCACTTTACAGATCCTATTATGAATCAAATAGATAGAATACTCATTCATAGTACAAGTTTGTAAGTCCAAAAACTTACCACATAGGTAACATTTAGAAAATAATACATACACAAAAATATCTTTACTAAGATATTACTCACAGTGTTCAGATGCTTCATTCATCCTTACAATTGGCCCTACATAATTCACAACACATTGGGTCATAATACAATTAAATCTGTTTTTTAGTTTGCTTAATTTTCTTGGGCTTCTTTCGTGTTCTTTAATTCACTTAGGATGCTCAATGTGTGCCTATGAATGCTAAAAAATGAGAGAGAATGGAAATTGAAGCATAAAACAACCTTTCAAAAGTTCCTGAAACAGGGCCCTTCGCTCGAGTGCAACTTTATTCACTTGAGCGGGCTGCAAAGCTCTGCAAAAGTACTAGTTGCTTGAATTTTAGGCTCGAGTGCAAGTTTTGGTTGCTCAAGCTATGAGCAGTTCAAAACAGGGTTCGCTCGAGCGCAAGTTTTGCCTCTGCCACCATGCAATTGTCTACTAAAATATTGGATGCCTGGTAACTTCACCGCTCGAGCGATACGATCGATATCTGGGTTTTCCAGAATGCTGTTCGGGTTTCAAAACATGGTTTTCAATGGTGCAACTTGCATGTTATGTCCTATATTTGAGCCATACAACTACTAACATGAATTTAAGAGCCAATTTTATAACATTGAAGTTCAAATTATCATAAATTCATCATGCAAGTCCCAAATCATTTCAAATTCTTCTTGATAACTTCAAAACTCATGCAATCAAGTTCCATAACTTCATGGATTATGCATGCATGTGAGATGTAGTCTCTAATTCCATCTCAAATGGTATATAAATGATACTTTTATTCATGAGACTCAAGACAATTATGCATGCATGTGTGATTTGATACCAAATTCTTCATATTAAGTTTATATCTTACATTAATTCACCAATTCTTCTTGAATTCACATAGTTATGAACTTAAGCTCATGAATTTGAGTTCAATTACTCACCTAGAGTCTTCAATCAATTCTTCACAATCTAGTTCTTGAGTTCCTACACATAATCCTTCAAGCCCCTAGCCAAATCTTCAACATTGAGCCTCATTGTCTCTAGAATCGCACTTCTCTCTCTAAAATGCTCTCCCTACAAGCTGAATTTTGAGCTCAAAATAAGCTAAGCACCTTAATTAGCATATTATAGGCTAGGTTAACTTAATTCACTAATCCATGATTAAATTAAGTAATTGGAGTTTAATTTAATTGATCAAAGGCTTATTTTAATCAGTTTAATATAATTTGATTTTGGCTTGAGGCCGTAGGTAATCTCATGATTGCTGGCCGGTTATGATCCTAACCTATAGGGGCGGGTTTGGGGTCGTGACAAAAAGAGTGCCCTAATGGCTACACATTTCAAGACAAGGGTGTTGATTACATGAAAGATGGACATTCAATACCAAAACATTTTAGCATGGAGCTTTCACATTTACATTCACTTTAAGAGTCTTCATGCTACATGTAACAGACTATGCAATTATTTGGTATGAGAATGAGAATGCACATGCTATATTATGCCAAAAACTTTGATTTCTTCTTTTTCAAAAGGTAATGCTCAAATGCATATGAAGTTTTAGAACCAAACAGTCATGGGGCAGTAAACTAGCACTAGACCTTCCAAGGCAAGAGTCCCAAACATCATATATATATACAGTTGTATATCACAAAATATTCCCACATTTACCGATACCAAAACATTTTAGCATGGAGCTTTCACATTTACATTCACTTTAAGAGTCTTCATGCTACATGTAACAGACTATGCAATTATTTGGTATGAGAATGAGAATGCACATGCTATATTATGCCAAAAACTTTGATTTCTTCTTTTTCAAAAGGTAATGCTCAAATGCATATGAAGTTTTAGAACCAAACAGTCATGGGGCAGTAAACTAGCACTAGACCTTCCAAGGCAAGAGTCCCAAACATCATATATATATATACAGTTGTATATCACAAAATATTCCCACATTTACCAGCTCGATATGAAAGGGCAATGGGCACCTAAAACATTAACACTTTCCACATTTATCGGCTTGATACGGAAGGACCAGCGGACACCCAAAAAATTTCCCACATTCGTTTGGCATCAAGCCCGAGACAGGGCAATTGGGCACCTAGACTCCCTGCTTGGATACCAATACAATACTCATATCGTTTTAGAAACCGACTCAACTACCCGGACTTCTATGCTATTTAACCCCATCTCAAGCTTCAACACCTTCCAATTGTTCACTCGGTTTCAAATGAAAACTACGTAATGGAAACATGATGCATGGATTTTAAATATCTTCAATTCTTCATAATTCAATTCATTTCCAATAGAAGTAAACAATTAGATTCAAGGAAATATCATCAACATCAACACCAATATATATAATTCAATTCCAAACTTTGAGGTTCTCTACCATTCCATGAATGTCCATTATTCTCTAACATCAATTTCGCAATAATTACAATAATTGAGATCAAATCCTCTTTTCAATGAAAATTATAAAATTAGGGTTTTGAAATAAAAATTAGGGGTTTTACTTTCCTTTCTTCAACAATGACAAATTACACAAAATCAAACCTTTTAAACAAAAGAAATCAACATGCACAACTTAGAAAATTAGGCATCAAATCTTCTTTGTCACAAATAACCATAAATTCCAACTTTTATACTCATCAAGCTTAGAAACTGTGAAATCTTTCTCATAATCACACCAAAACAAAGATGTACTAAATTAAAAGTAATCTTACCTCAAAGATGAGAGCCTAAGGATAAAGACGCAAACGATGACTTCAATGAAGACACGCTTTAATTGGTTCAAAGTGTTCCTTGCTTCGAGCTCTACACCTTTTGTTAAGTAACTAGGATAGATTCTTAGTAAAAGTACATGAAATCTAGGATTTTAGGCAAGGGTTTCACGAAAATGGAGAAGCAAGAAAGGGAAAGGGAAAGAAAAAGTGAGAAAAGTGGAGCAAAAAGGTAAATTTAAGTGGCTAATCCTGAATAGATCGCTTGAGCAACCAAACCTGTGCTTGAGCACTGTGAGAGTGTGGTCCGCTTGAGCATTCAATCCTGAGCTCAAGCGTGAAATGCAAACTTCCAGAATTTCCAACTGCAGAACAAAATATTGGTTGCCTTCAAAGACAGCTAGAGTGCACAATCCTGCGCTTGAGTGTGAAACGCAAGCTCCTAGCATCTCCGCCTGCAGAGCGAGATGTTGGATGCCCTAAAAGACCACTCGACCGTTAACTCCTACGCTTGAGCGAACCCTATTTTTCCAAAATTGTTACAAGAACACTTTCTTTGCTATTTTATTACTATCCAATATATATTTTAAATGCTTGGATTCACAACCACAGATTACTTTGTTTGATGATTCATACCTTTGATTGCAATGCTCTCAGTGGTTTAAAAAATGGGCATTGCATTATTTTAGAGTAGCTTATTAATTAACTTAACTATGCTATGATGCACTGTTGAAGCTTTTTATGAGTTGGTATATGATGTTTGGTTAGACATGCTGTCCTGTCTGGATAAGAAGGCTCCGTGCACGGTAGTTCTATATACTATGGCATTATGTCATACTTTTCTGTTGGCTTAATTTGTGCAGTTTTGCAGGGTAAAGATCGATACCCTTACCCAGTTGGATACAAAGCTGTCCGAACTCATAATGGGAATACTTATAAAATGGAAATTTGTGAAGGTCTCAAAGGGCCTTTATTTTCGGTCTGTTGCTATTCTCAATTGCTTTTGATCTTCTTACTTGCCTTGGGTTGTCAAAACTACTAAAGCCTTACCAGCTCCCTCCCTCTTTTCATATTTTGTTCATTTGGCAGATCACTTATACTGATGGAGAGTCATGTTCTGGACAAACTCCAGATATTGCATGGAAAAACTTTCAAAAGAAAGGATGCCCTCACATAAAATTGTGGCATGGAAAGAGATTTTCGTGTAAGATAGATGGTGTTGAGGTATATATCTTGGTGCCTATTATGAGTAGTTGATGTTGGTGTTGCATTGTGATAATTGCTTTCCTGATTCTGTGACCTTTCTCCTGTTGTTATATTATTAATTCTATTAAAAATGGCAGAAAACTTTATTTGGATGCCATTATGTGGACTAATACGGACTTTATATTTTTGATAATTTTTATATTATGATTTAATGTGTGTTTGATCAACCAATCTTTGAGGCAGCAGTTCCACTTCTACAAATATGATTCATAGAATAACATGGGCATGCAATGCTCTTATACTGAGGAAACATCACTGCTGATAAAACTTGTTGTGTATGGATTCTATTGCATTGTTATAAATAGAATGCCAGAGAATTAGATGACATGACATCTTTCAAATCAATTATCAAACTGGTTAACAAATGGTCTTCAGGTCTTTCCTTACTAGTGCAACAACCTACATCCTTGATAGCCTTCTCTTTAACTTGACCCACTTAGCTTCGTCATCCTTTTGTCTATCACTGATGCCATCTCTAACCTTAGTTGCATGGAGCTGGGGCTGGGTCTGGGGCAAAGGAGTGGAGGCACATAAGAGAGTCTAAGGTTGAGAGTGCCTATGTATTTATATATATTAGAAGAAATATTTTTGTTGTAAAATTAATGTTAAATGTCTACATTATACTAGCACTTCAAATGTAAAAGCATAAACGTAATAAATTCTCATTACAAAAGTAACAATTTATTACCAATAATATATATTTTTTACTCGTCAATGCTCACAAACTTGAATTAAAAGATCTATCAAAAAACGTCCCATCATTAATTCCTAAGAAGAAAATCAAAATTTAGTATCAATATCTGTTCTTTATTGAATTTGTTTTGACTTGTTAGATTTTCTTCTCTTTCTTTTGGATTCATATGTTTGAGTAGTCCCATCCTAAATGTTAGTAGGAGTTTTCTGCTTTCTGCTAATTTTTCATAAATGTAGTCATTTTTTACTCTTTAGTTATCATTAACCCATCATTCTTTTGACGGTCATGCTTTCTACAAAAGAAGCACGAACATGTGTAAAGGATGAATATCCAAAATTCTATTGATATGTTAAAATGAGATATTTTGATAAAATAAGAGATGGAAACAAGGTACTAAAACGTATATGCATGTGTGTATGTTCAAACATTCACAACAAAGTGGTTTGCCATGATATATACTCATTTGTTATGCTAATTAATCATTGTTTCAAAATGAAACTATATCAATCATTGTTTCAAAATGAAACTATCTGAGAAACATGGACACAGATCAGGACATGGGGGGCATAGACATAGGACACATTGATTTTGAAGAAAAGTAGGACACTAACACAATTGAGATATGACTTAAAAAAGAAAAAAAAAAAAATATTAGTTATGTATACGTATATAAATTTATGGTATGTATGAGAGACACAGCCACCATGTAAGGTATGCCGACCCCACTACTAGATAGGGGAATCGGTCATAGTAGAGCTCTGTCATCATGAGGAGTGTAACAAACGAGAATAGGCATTAATAGTTGTGGTTAGAGTCCCACTAGCAAGAATTTGATCTTTAAAGCCTCGCAAGTCTTGATCTAAACCAAAAAGAAATTAAGTAATCATAAAGTCCTCCCGATTGCGCTTTTGTTGTTCTAAATCATTGCTGAAGGGCTGATGCTGGAATAATTGATTCCACAAATTTTTGAGAGTGCTGTAATACTCAGATAAGGGTTGGCTAGACTGTTTAGTGGCAAAAATTGTCTCGTACAACTCATGCACTCAATAACAATTACTCTTATGGTAAAAAGACTTTACAAGAGCATCCTAAGCCCTTAGCTCGCTCATCCTTTTAGTGGCTATCTATCAAGCTGAGCATGTTCAATCTCTATGCTCTAGCTTGAGTTTAGAGGGAGAGTTGGAATAGATGTTATTTTTTTTTTTTATTGTTATTAATTGTTAATAGTTATGTCCTTGTTGTATTTTATTATTATAATATAAATATGGGTTGAGCTACATGGTATGAGATATAACCCAATACCTATTTCTATAATTCTTTCTTCTGTCCGTCTTTTATTCACTATCTTTGACCTTAATTTTATAGCTATTTCATAGCTTTTTATACTATAGTTGTTTCCATATATTTTACTTTGACCCCAAATCAATTTTCTAAAACTATAAAAAACCTAAAAAGATGTCATGTAGCAAGTCCAAAATAGGACACGTGTTCTTGAAGTGTCTTTGACGTGTTGTGAAAAATAATAATAATAATATTTTTTTTGATATGCTAGGTGGTGTGTCCAACACACGGATGTGCATGTCCACAGTGTGTTAGTGTTCGATACATGACAGACACGGACATGACACCCATTTTGAATTTTTCATGCTTCCTAGGAAACAATAGTGTTGGTTTCCAATTTTTTAGACCATAGTTAATTCATAAGAGAAGAAAAACCTATGCCAAGGAAAGCTTTGGTAGTAACAAGATTTGCATGGTTGTTTGTGAAGTGTCCTGAGTGGGGCCTTCTAGGAAGATGGAAGGCACTAAGATGGCGTAGAATCACCTGAGGTGGGAAAGGTGAGAGCTTATTTGGTCCTTGATGGACATAGAGGGGTAGTGAAGGTCCAAGATTGTCGGAGGAGGGAGATAGTCATGTCTCCTTATATAAGGTGGTATAATCATGTGGGTCTGCTCAATTATGCACTGTGTCTTATGCCAGGGATAAGTGATTCATTTGTTTTAGTCCAACAATCTAGAGGTTTCTAATTGCCAACAACATCCATGATTAGAACTCGGAGATCATATTATAGTGTTGAAGTGGTAGTTATGTTAAAGGTCAGAGATGTAAGTTTTTTTGTATATTCAATTGTATTATAATAAAAAGAATACATCTGATTATATAGTAATCCTAACCCTAAGACTAAAAGGGAAAAGAAAACATTGCCATATATATATATACACAATCTCTCAGAAAATCTAACTTAATATTCTCACACCCCCGCTCAAACTCAAGGTGTTTTAGTAGAAAATCCTGAGAGTTTACCAAAAAGAAATTGAAACAGAGCAGTGGTGTGAGTCTTGGTAAAGAGATCAGCAAGTTGCAGAGTCGAAAAGACGAAAGCAAGCGAGATAGAATTAGACTGCAGATGCTGACGGACAAAGTGACAATCAATCTCAATGTGCTTTGTTCGCTTATGGAAGACACTGTTATGGGCAATCCGAATAACACTACAGTTATCACAATAGAGGGAGGTCGGATGAGGGATGCCTAAGTTAGAGAGAAGATAACGAAGCCAGACAACTTCAGCAGTAGCATGAGCTATAGCACGGTACTTAGCTTCGGCAGTAGAACGGGTAACAACAGTTTGTTTAATGCTTTTTCAAGAAATCAAGGAATCGCCAAGAAACATATAGAAACCAGAAGTGGATTTACGATCTGTAATATCACCAGTCCAACCAGCATCAACATAGGCTATTAAAGCCAAGGAAGAAGTAGAGGACAATAGCAATCCTTGGAAGATGGTACTGCGAAGATAGAAGAATCCGAACCAAAGCAGCTGAATGTGTGGAACGAGGAGCAGAAACGAACTGACTAACCACATGAACAACATAGGCAAGATCAAGGCGAGTAACCATTAGATAGACTAAGCAATCCACGAGCTCTCGATATAAAGTTGGATCTAGCAGAAGAACTGTTGGCATAGCATATTATATTATTATCTGAGTTATTGGTTTGTAATTGTTCTATGCCCTCAGGGCTCATCTTGTAATTGTCTCATCTTGTAAATCCTAATCTTCATTTATAAATAGGGGATGATATCCTATCAAACCCTAAGCTGGTTACTCAAGCTTCATGGTATCAGAGCAGAACCGCTAGGGTTTCGGCACACCCTCACTCTAGGGTTCGAAACTTACCTAGGTGGTTCATCTGCTGGGTCGATCTTTAGCTCGTCGATCTCTGCTTCATCTTCATCCTTAGTCGCCGTCGTCACTCAGTCGTCTCTCAGTCGATCGTCACTCAGCCGCCTTCCTGTCGCCTTCGTCACTCAGCCGTCCAGCAGTTCGATCGTCTTCGTCGCTCGTCAGTTCGATCTTCTTCTCCCTTCGTCAGTTCGTCGCTCATCTTCATCACTCTCGTCAGCTCGTCGCTCATCTTCTTCTCTGTCGCCTTTGTCGACCTTCGATCTCACCGGTATACTCTCATACTCTTGGTATACTCTCATACTCCCTGTTTGGTATGATATAACCTATGTCGTGTATAACACCGTACCAATACATATATAAATAACTAAATAAATAAATATATATATACAAAAAAACAAAAAAAAAAAAAAAAATGAAAATGGTTTCTTAATTTTGTTATGTCTTTATAGTGGTCATTGTGCCTACCACCACCTCCCGGGTTTGTGATTGCCACTAGTTTTGTTACGGGTTCGGTAGTATAGTATACAGGACAGATTCCACCAGTGTGTCCCCTTCTTCTCAAACACCGAGGAGTGAGAGTCCCATTATACCTACTACCATGATTGAGCACCCCAACCCTAGTCTGAAAATCACCACCTCTCTATTTAATGGTCAAAACTACCTGACATGGTCTCAAAGTTTGACTATGTTTTTGAAGAGCAGAGGGAATATGGGATATGTTGATGGCAGGATACAGGCACCTAGTACCACTGACTCGGGTTATGACCAATGGGAGATTACCAACTCTTTGATTATGGGTTGGCTTATCCATTCGATGGTTCCAGAACTTGGTGAGGGCTACTTGTCTATGGAGACTGCCCAAGATGTTTGGGATGCTGTGGCTGCCACCTATTCCTGTAAAGGGAATTTCTCACAGGCGTTTGAGTTGCGCCGCTCTATTGAGAGCTCACTTTAGGGGGAGCAGCCTGTTCTTCAGTACTTCACTTTCCTCACCAACGGCTGGAAACGCCTTGACCACCTACAAGACTATAAGCCTGTTTGCCCTGCTGATTCTGTCGGGTACAAAAAGTCCATCGCA